TATATAGAGAGAGAGAAAGAGAGAGAGAGAGAGAGAGAGAGAGAGAAAGAGAGAGAGAGAGAGAGAGAGAGAGAGACAATGAAAAATGGAAAGAGAGCCACACATTTACTCGAGAGAAAGACTAATAATCTACACAACGAACAAACGGGACAAGCAGACACAGACTGAAGTACAAGTCAAAACATAATGTTGTCGAACAGTAACGTTTTACCAGGCATAATGTATCTACCCCCCACCCCTCTCACGCCGAGAGAATATTAAGATACATGACTACTAGGACTAAAGTAAAGCGGATCCATTTGGGACTCGGACTCCAATTTTGTTCTGCCGTTACACATCAACTTTTGTCTAGTTGCTGTTCATAACAGCATTATTCTTTTAAAATTATTGGTGTATTGAACATCAATTTAAATTAAACGTACAGCTATGCAACAGAAACGAGAGTAGTTTTTAATCGTACAACAGTTTTGCTGAGTTGACGTCTAACAAAAATATAACCAGGGATTATTTAGAGTTAGTTATATCATTTTTTTCGGGGGGGGTCGGGAACTATTTCAATATTCTCATACAACTTTATTCACTCTGATATCAAGCAAATTTATTGTTTGAAAACAATGACAGAGCAGATTGGAAGTCTACTATTTGTGTTAGATGAGGCGGCGTGACGTGAATCGAAACAAAAAACCATGGGAAGGAAAAAGGTTTTATTCAATAAATTCATCTTCACTGCTTAGCATACAATTGCACAGAATATCGAATTGTATTATACCTTAGACAGCGCTCTCTTATGCAATTCTAGTTTACAATGGCGAGTATCGTTAGTCTCAGTTTAGAGCCAAATGAAGGGCAAGGGGAAAAGGTATTAATTAATACTAAAACTAAAACGTCCGTCACGTGTCTTGTCAGGCGTTGTATGAGCCTATATTATGTGTTCAGTACTACGGCCTTGTTCTTTAGAGCTCCCCCACCCATTGGCTGCGATCTCTAAGCGCCAGTTTCGGTTTCGAGTGGGGATCAGAGAATAATGAAAGCTGCCATCTCTAGCGGAGAAGGTATTGAATGCAGTCATGAAATCAGTGTACATAATTGATACGTAACACGTCTACTTTCGAAATAACTATTTGAGTTTCATGTGACACCACTCTTGGTTTTTTATAATGTTACAAACAAAGTATGGTATGTGCTTTAGGGAAAACAAGTTGATGATGATATTATAACAATTATTTTTTCGATCACATTGGTCATCATCAAATCCGGTGTCATTCGTCCTAACGTTAGCATTCATATTTCCGACCATGATGTTGAAATCTTTTGCATCAAAAACCTATCTTGAAAACTCTTTTTCTTTTTTTAGATATTTTAATAATATGTGATTGGTACTTTTAGAAATGACTAAACCAGCCATAAAATGAATTTATCATATTGATTAGCAAGATTAAGTGGCTCATTTACTGATGATAAAGCACGACCAATGGGAAGGCAAATGTTTCTAAGCGAAAAAAGTCGGATGAAAAAGAAATTTGTAAAGACTTTGAAGACTTGAAACAGGTCTTCTTGTCTACAGAACGAAGCGTAATATTTTGTAAAAACGGTTTTTTTTCAAATGCGGACAAGCACAATTCCAGCACATCTGGTTATTTGAGCTGGTTCTGAGATAATTGGCTTTAGTGCTTTAACGTTTTATGCAACTGAGAGAATGTATACTGTTGTCTACCTAGATAACACAACTTTTAATAGCTTTGTAAGTTCGGAATAATAAGGAAATAGAAGAAAAGGTTTTGTATCAGATTAGGGTGTTAGGTCACAAACATTTCTGTGACCTTTACATAAGAAACTTGCTTATATAATGCAACCTCAGGAAAAAAGCATTAGTGTTGTTTGTTATTCGACACCAACAAAAGATGTCTACTTAAGTGTCTGATTAGACCCAACGTGATATATATATATA